ACAGGATCAACACATGTCATGAAATAGCAGAGAGTAGATATTTCCGCCTATATAAGTAGTTCATTTACCTTTTACCCATTTATAGTTCACATGTACTAACTAGTATTTCATGTATGATTGTTGGTATTACCAGTACGTACCATTAACGATTTAGATGGTATACAAACGTTAACGTTGTTGATATATTTTATCTTCAGTATGATAATGTGTACCAGCAACACTTGTATTCATACATGATGGTATTTTTAGAATTGTGTATTGTTGCATAACTAGAAGATAAGTAACTATAAATCAAATACAAATTAATCAATTACTGAAAATTATACTTTTTGACGCATACTCAAGAAAAAACAAATGTCACCATATTGTTCAATTTCTCAAAATTCGACTCTCAAATTTCAGTTCTCAACATTAGGAAACCGATTTCATAAATATGAAACTAAAATAAATTGTTTAATTTCTCAAAAATTTGTCAAAATTCAGTTCTCAACTTCAGGAAACCAATTTAATTTTTTTGGGTACAAAATAAAACAAATCAAAATCATAACTTACCCCAATCATCTCATTATCTTTGTTCCCCGAATTACCATAATCCCTTCCACCAACCGCACCTACCACCTACAAATCTTCACCAAAACTTTATTTTCATATCCATAGCTGTAGCTCACTCAATTTCTGATGTGTCTATTTTATATAGTATTTTACCCCCGTCCCTTGATCATAATTAGTAGTGTTTTTGGCTCTTTAGAGCCACTTTTATTATTAATTGGTGTTTTCTAGTGTTTTCTAGATTTGGTTGACTTTTGCAGGGATTTATACTTTTGGAGTATTTTCCCGAGATATTTTGGAGCAATCACGAGCACTGGAGAAGCACGACCAGAGTTTATAGCCCAGGGCCGGTTAGAGCCATCGAACCGGTGATTAAGGGCTTGGTATGTGTGATACCGGGTCATTTGGACCGAGTATTCAAGACCCGAAGAGGAACCCCAGATTGGCCCGAAGAATTGGAGCCCAATCGTAGTTCAAATTGTGGCCCAAGAGAGCCGCCCGGCCAAAAAGGCTAGCGCCCGGAGGCGCGCCCGAAGGGCGGGAGAAGCAAAGGTCGGCGCCCGAAGGCGCGCCCAATCGGGCGGTTCCTCGCCCGATCGGGCGCGTGTTATTGTTAACCGCCCGATTGGGCGCGTGTTATTGTTAGGAGACGATTAGCGTCGTTTAAGTTTGTTTTAGTTTAGGATTCTTACGGAGTATAAATACTTCTCCGCAAAACGAATTTAGTACTTTTCTTTACCTTCTTTTTACTCTTTCTTAATTTTTCTGAGACTTTCTCTCTCTAAATCTTTTCTCTCTCCTCTTAAACTCTTAGTATTATTTTCTCTCTATATAACTCTTGGTTTAATTTCAGTAATTTATTCTCTTTCTTTGATCATGTTTCCTCTAATATTCTTGATTAGTTTAGTTTTAATTATGTGTGAGTAGTTTTATTTCTAGGGTTTGTGGGGATCCATAAATAATATGAAGGGGTAATTTATTATTGTTAATTGTCAATGTTAGATTAATTTCCTATTGATTGATTTAATGCTTTGTGACTAGATTTGCGCGGATCTTTTATGCATGAGTTTGGCAATATTGATTCGAGATTCGACAGATGAGAATTGATGTTTAGGTCTAGTTTCAATAGGCAGGTTAATTTATAAATGGTTGAGTCGAGATTCGAAAGATGAGATTTAATACCGGTAAATTAATTGTGTGATTGTAATACGTAGTGAAAGCCCTTTATGATCTGATTAATGTATGCATTGATGATTGATTATTATGTTTTACCCTGAAATATTATTTATTGGTGAACCTATACCCTAGGTCTTTTATTCATTGTTTCTCCACCCACTTTTATTATTTCCCACTTTTACTCTTAGTAGTTTAGTTTCCTTCTATTATTATATTTTGGTTACTTTATAATCTAGATTATATTAATTAATTAGGAATAGAAAGACTCGTTTCTCTGTGGATTCGACCCTACTTCCCTATCTACATTAGTTAGAGGATTTAGGAATTACTTTTGATTAGGGGATACGATTTTACCCTGTCAATTTCCGGGAATTAATTACTCGCAAAATAAGGGCTTCTCTCAAATTTGGGGCCTTTACATCACTTTGGAGCTTCAATTTACTGTTTTGTGCATTTCTCTTGCTTTGAGGTGGGGGAATAGGGGAGGGAACTCCATTAATTATTTCACCAAAATTTGAGAGGGAAAAAATTGGGGGAAATTTTGGGGATTCTATTCCCTGCTGTAGTTTCATTGTTGTTGCTGGTGAAATTTTGGGGAGCGAATCTGATTTTACAAACTGGTGGTCCTCTTCTCTTTTTTATTTATTTTGTTTTATTAAGCCTTTTTATTTTATTTTTTCACCTAGTTGAGTCCAAAGTATAGACCAATAAAATCTCTTTTACCTCATTGGGTTTTGACTTTATTTCAAAGCTGATGCATGAGTTTTATGTATCTACCCAACAATATACTACCTCCTTTAAGTTTTATTTGCAACTTTGAGGTGCAACACGGATCCCAAGTCAAAATTTCATGATGGTGATTATAGAATGAAAGGGTTTGTGATTAAGGAGGAGAGAGATAAATTAAACAAGATTAATAAACTACCCAAGCCACCACTATTAGAAAACAACTTGTTTCCGACGGAAACGGAGACACCCCAAAATCCATCGGAACCGGTTGCAGGAAAAGCCCTTGTAGGAAAAACGACATCTTTTGACAAAATTCCGTCGAAAAGTGTTTCCGACGGAATTTTTTCGTTGGAAAAGGTTTTTCGAGGCCGGAAAAATCCGTCATAAATCTACGACGGACACAATTCCGTCGTATAATTTCGAGGAAATTTCCGCGGAAATTGCAACAAAAATAAAAAAAAAATACGTCGCACCACCATCAGCGCGGTGTATCACCACCACCGCCACTACCACCCCCGAACCCTAAACCCAACTAAGCCTATATGCACCAAACCCTTACCCAAATCCACCCACTGCCACCACCAAACCCTTACCTATGCCTAGACCAAGATCCACCCAGACCCATACCCAGACCCAACACCAACCAAAACCCCACCAAACCCATACCCAGATCCAGCCAAACCCACCTCTCACCAAATTAACCCACACCACCCTAACCCTTAGCCCCTGGCGGCGATTTGGAAAACCCAGCAAAGACCACCGCCACCAACAACCCCCCCACCACCACCACCGCAATTACCCGAACTCAAACCCCCCACCACCGCCACCGCAATTCATCCAAAAACCATAAAATAAAAAAAAAGTCTCACAAGCCAAAAATAAGTAAAGAAAAATATAACATACATGTCTTGAATTTCACAAAAAAAAAAAAAAAAAAAAAAAAAAAAAAAAAAAAAAATCGAAATTGGCTTGAATTTGGGTTTTAAAGGTCAAATTCGACCATGAAAACTCTAGAAGCGAATTTGACATGAAAAACCTTACTTTGTTCATAAATTAAAACCTTGTTCATTAATTCACTAGTAGAAAAAACATAGTGGTTTTAAAAATCCGCCTGTCATTTACCCAATTTTTTTTAAAAAACAAACCCTCTAATATTGAATGGCAAGCGGTTTTGGCGAGAACCGCTTGCCAATATATATAATGACAAGCGATTTGGGGTTGAATCGCTTGCCATTAGATATATTGGCAAGCGGTTCAACCCCAAACCACTTGCCATTTTTAAAAAAAAAAAAAAAAAAAAAAAAAAAAAAAAAAAAAAAAAACCCTAAAACTAATAGTACTTGTAGCCGCCCACCCCTTATTAGCTCCTTCTCCCTTCATTTCCCTATTCTCTCTACTCTTTCTTTATTCTCATTTTCGCTGCTCTCTCTGTCTCTCCTCTTCCATATCTCCCGTTCTCCCTCTCTCTCTTCTTCTCTTCCCTTTTCATCTTCGATCTCCTTCTCTCTTCTCTGTCCTTCGCTCCTCTCTTCTTTCACTTTCTCATCTCCAAAAATTCGAACCAAAACCGGATAATAAAACCCCCAGTAAAATTTCGAGCAGATTTCGAGGACAATTTCGAGCAAATTTCGAGTACGATTTCGAGAAAATTCGTGCATGCGTGTGGGTGTTCAAGTTTTTAGGGTCCCATGAAAACTCTAGATTTAAAAAGACAAACCACAATCACATATATGACACATGTCATCATAATTCACCCATATGTCACATAACACATCCATTAATATTGCCTCTTTATACACCCTTTCAAAGTAAAAGATAAAATAAAATGTTATTGAATACTTAAGTCTTTATGCATTCCTAACTTGCAAATTTGAGTAAGAAAATGGAGTGTTCCATCTTCACTATAAAAAAAAAAAGTTGTACTCCTCTCTATATCTCTTTTAATGTAAAAGTTAAAACAACAAATTATTTAATGTTAAATTCTTTATGTGTTCCAAACTTTTAAATTATAAGTAAGAAAATTAAGCAAATTATTACAAAAAATCACCGACACATACAACACAAATAAGCAACACATTTCATGAAAAATAAAATGAGCTACAACCCGTTTGTTAAACGGGCCAAAATGATAGTTTTGCACTTTTGCTCTATCTTCCACCATGAAGAAGTCACGAGCACGATGTAATAGGTGAAAGGAAAAATTCCGAGCACAATGTAATAGGTGAAAGGAAAAATTCAACTGAAAGGAAGGCCATTATGCTCAGTTTAAACCAACTACTCAAATGATACTGGTACCAATTCTTGTACATCACGAGAGGTTGTTATACTTACCCGGGTGTACCATACACGCATGAGTATTTGTTCTCATTTTGATGATTTTTTTTTATTATTATTTTTTTTTATGATCAAATGAATAGCAAAAACTAACCTTAGGTTAGCTGGGTATATGCTACGCCCGGGTATACATAAAATATTCTAGCACATCCTCTCTAGTAAAGCAGCAATGACTAAAGGGGGAAAAAATAATTAACTTACGACATGTAAAGTGGATACCCTAATTTTTTCTTTATGGAAGGGTTCTCCCTAATTTTTTTCCATTATTTCCATTCAAATAGAGAAAAATAATCAGAAAGATTAAAATTTACAGTTTACAGATCTGTAACTTTGAACATAATAATTGCTATTGTATTTGTCACAAGGGAGATCCCTTCCACTTTAATCTGTCAAGTCCATCAACAATCGCCCTGCGAAACTCACCATTATGAAGAATGAAAGATGATACGTGCCCGCCACTAACCCACCTCACTTCTGATCCTGGCCAAGCTTTCTGAAGCTCCAGCACTGAGTGATTTGGTATATACCCATCATCCTGAAACGCATAAACATGGTCAAGATATAAGTTCAATCGATTATTATTTTAATATTGCCCTCTAGCCAGGAAAATCCTGCAATCCGTCCACATATACAGAAATGTATACACACTGGAATAAAAGATGGGCTCATCAATGCTTAAAAAAACCATCCAAACAGATGAATCTTATAAAACACAAATGCCCGAGAAAGTATACACATACACAAGTAGTCAAGTACACAACTAACAAAGGCTAATGCATATTTCAAATGACATAATTCGTACATTTGAAGAATGTCTATGACTTAGTTTTAAAGGTCGCAAGGCACACCAATGCGCAAAAAGTCCTTAAAGCCTAGGCGCAAGGTAAACGCACATGCCTTTTCTAGGTGAGGCGCACTGTATTCATATAGAAAAGAAATAATAATTTCAATTATAAGTGTAAAAATGAAATTATGAGAAAAGGTGAAAGGGCCATGTGATCAATAATAAGGGTTCTTCAAATCGAATTATAGGATATGAGATTTCTCTCCCCACTAGAATTGAAGAAAAACTGCCCATAACAAATTCTCATGGTATACTTGAATAAAAAAAACTTACACAATAGCTATTGATGCTTTAAAACATTGAGCGCAAAATAAGGTGCAAAAGCGCAAAAAGCAACCTAGAAAAAAGCACAAAGGCGCTAACTCTCGAGCCTCACCCTGCCTTGCGCCTAGGCACACTTTTTAAAACTAAGGTCTATGATTGAGTATATTTGGGGTTAATAGCCTAATACATCTTGTGCACTCTTCTAAGCAATATTAGACTTTGTTTTCCTCACCTTATAGTCACTTATTTCAAGTCAAATAAGTTCAGCTAATATAAGTGGCAAGTAGCTCCAAATGAGCTAATAAGTTCATCTAAAATAAGTTTGGGACTCATATGTTCAAATAAAAATTTGATGGCTCAATTCTCCCCTCATTATTACTTATTTCAGGTTTGATAAGTTTTAAAAAGATAAGTTTAAGGCTAATAGGTTCCAATAAGATGCCCGTAAAAAAAAAATAATAAAAAAAAAAATAAATAAGTGGAGAGAATCCTGACTTGCTTGTGTGTCTCAAACCATTTTCTTGGGTGAAAAAAGAGGAAAGAAATAAAAGGACCAAGGGAGCAGAGGATTATATCAGCATCAGAGGTTAATAGGATTGGCATGAATTTGACTAGCCACAAGAAGCAGAAAAGGAAACAGAGCATGTAACCCACAGGATAATTCAAATTATACTAATTGGAGAGTGCATCTATGCAAAAATGATTGTAAAAATTAAAATTATGACAAAATCGCTATCTTACAACATCATTTAAAAGTTTAATATGAGAATCCTAATAAAAATTTCACTACACAGGAATTCATAGGAAGAAAATAACACTAGATTAACAGACATATAAGAAACTGAAAAGGCAAAAAGTTTTGCCATCAAGAAGAGTGAACAGTGCAGCAGTGACTATAGTACTAAACTGCATTTTCAAAAGCATCACATGTACCCCGAGAATGGTTCAATGTGAACTAAGGGTTTGGCAATGATCAAACAATGCAAACATCCAGATGAAAGAGATACAATGATAGAAAGCAAAAGGTTCAGAAGCTTGTTTTACTTTCTTTTAGACCTAGTTGAACAGGTGTTCATGAAGTAAGTTAGATAATTCAACATTAATACAGTATAGCACACTTGTTCAGCTAATACAAATAATATAAACCATTACTGCCTGAGCATATGAAAAAGGTCACTTACAGTAGCAGCAACAAATATAACTGAATTAGGATTTTTAGGAATTGGAAAGCGGGTGACATCTGTGAGAGACAGCACCTCTCTCATCCTCTGTCTGACATCTTCTTGAGTCAATGTAGCCTGCTGTACTTCAAGTTCAGCTCTCAATGCGTCCCATGCAGTAGCATGCTTCAGAACGCCTTCACAAAATGCTACAACAGCAGAATGAGGGGAGAGAAACGGGAGGGTTGCTATTGGCGTAGGGTGCAAAGATCCAACCATCGCAGCATGCACTCCACCTAGTAGAAACAGAATTGATCGTCACATATGTTTTATTTGGTCTGAAGGCAGAGCTCTACATAAAATGGTCAAGCTAAAAGTCTAAAACGTATATTAGAGTTTTTAGACAATGGCTAAAATCTTAAACGTTCAAGTAAAAAATTTCAGCATTCAGAATTCAGACGCCTAACCCATGCTAAGTCCACAAACACCAAGCTTGCCAAACCCTTCCTCATCTAACCAGTGTAAAAGAGACCGAGCTTCATCTATAGTCGCTCTACCTAATAGCAACAAATCACTTACACAACGAAGTTTTGAGCCATATTGAAGCATGGGACGCCTCTGTCCATAGAAAGGGCTGCAAGTTGTCAAGATTATGGAGTTAGAAACTTTAAAGGCCGACAAATATAGATTTCAATTTACCCAACATAAAAACTGACTGATTTGCAATAGTGAAGTAAAATATGACACAGGGGTTCCCACCTCTCAAGAACCATTGTTGCTATATTTTCCTTTAGCAACGGTCCACCTAAACGCAACCTCCGTTCAAAAGTGTGGTCCCCAGTGCCTATGCAAATAGCCATACACATCGTTAACTCATACAAGTATCAAATTTTTGATATAAAAAAATGACTGCAAGTCTGCAACAATGACAGATTGACAAGAACCACAGTATAGCACCACAACATGGAGCATGTAACGTGCATTGCATCACATTTAATGCATTATTACATGATCATTTACAAAATATCAAATTGGCAAAGACAGTAAAACGTTAGTAAAACTGCAAATTGGTAAAACCCGAAACTTATCAGTACAATTAGATTGAGATAGAAAAGAAAGAAAACAACAGCTACAAAATAAATCCACAAACTACCCCAATCAAAATACCAAAAGTTCCAAACTTCCAATTCTGAAAGAAAAGTTCATATTGCTGAAAGTCCACAAGAAGCAAGTTGCTCTTCTTCAACAATTCACATAACAATTCATTTAATTTGGAACACTTAGAAAATTATACAACCAAAGCTTCCTAATGTATTAACTCCTAACCTGACTACAAGACTTTATTCTGCTAGCTATTAAGGGGGTGTTTGGTGCAAATATTGGAGAGGAAAGGAAACAAATAACATGGCAGAAAGAATCATTAAATTCTTACCTTTTGATTTGTTTGGTTTGACCATTAAAAGGATTTACTCAAACTTAACTTCCTTTCTTTTTGTTTAAGGAGGGTAAGGGTAATTGTTACCTTAGATTTTAGAGAGAGAACAAATAGGTGGAAACCATTATCCTTAAGTAATGGTAATTGCTACGCAAACCTTCAAACGAAACACTTGGTAACAATAATGGTTTAGTTGAACCTGTTTCCAACCCAAAATATACCCTTACTGAAAATGCTTTTGATGTTTTCATTGATCACACTACCTGTAAGGCTGTAACTCTATAAGAAACGCGTACAAAAATGCCTTTTCTAAGATGGGATAGCGTAGGATATACTAGGTCTAACATCAAACCAGGCAGTCAGGCACCTTCAATTTGACTACATTGCTCCAATCAATAACATATGTCATCTCACACTCCCCCGTCTAGTAACTCAAATGGAGGAATTTATGGATAACCAATCTTTAAAATTAATCCAGCTAGAGCAATTTGAATCATAATTGAAGAAATTAATTATCAAACAATCAAAATTAACAAGTTTTAACTCTAAACTTAACCAATCATATCAACCTTTCATCAAAATTAACCTCACTAGTTAAGCATACATGCTAATCTAAACTCAAATAATTCATGCTTGAGACTAAATTACAACAAATCAATCAACACTACCATTTCTATAACAAAACTCAAACAATTAATGATCAAAATTATGTCATGGAATCGAAACCGAGCATTAAAACAACAATGTACCTGCAAGATGAACCACACAGGCCATCTTCTCCGGATCAAACGACTTAGGAGTTAGAAAAGCAACCCTAGCAACATGACTTTCAGGGGGCAATGCGCTCAAAAGCTGTTCATCACAAGGAGTTTTGAAAACCCCTTCTCTCAAACAAGCAGTTTTCGTCTCCCAAACAGTTTTCCAACTTGGTTGAATCAATTGAGGCGGCCAATTCTGGCCTTCAATTTCTGGAAAAAGCTGCTTAATTAGCCTTTCTAGCAAATCAAGCTTGGTTCCACCCCAACCTCTTGAAAAAAATAGTGGGCTTATTCTTGTTCTGTGTACAAATGCACCGTATACATGGTCTAATACATAGTGTAACATTCCCAGTTTCACTTTCACTGCCACCATTTCAAACAATTCTCAGAAAAATAATTCACCCAAAAATCCAATTTTTTACACAAATTGGGCGATTGATTTGTATTGAACCCAGAAGATCTTATCCTAAATTATATCAAAAATAATAATAATGACAATATTATTAAGATGATTCACTCAGGAATCTCAACTATAACCCAAACTTATCAATTTGGATTGAACCAAGAAAAGCTTATCCTATAATAACAATGCAGAATCATACCCAGATGCAATTTCAGTATATTTGACACAACCCCATGAAATTTTTCACTGAATATTTCAAATTTAGAGCAATTTGAACAAATTTGTAATTAACCCAGAAATATTTACACTTCAAATCTTCAATGAGGCCAAATTACTGGTAAAAAACCCAGATTATGGAAGCTCATAATATACCAGATCTGGAATAATGAACAATTAGGAAGAAATTTAATGTTTAATAATTGATTTAAAATAAATTGAAGTTTAATTTGAAAAAGGATTTGTTGTTAGGAAAGATAAAAAGATAGAAATCGAAATCAACATTGAGGAGAAGAAAAGAAAACCAGGGGCAGAGGAAAAAAAAAAACTGGTAAAGAAATGGATTGGCAGAAAGGAGAAGATGGGACCCACTATGACGACACGTGGCACCACGACAGGCTCTGACAGTTGATGGGTTAAAGGTCAACATCATATCGTACGACGTAAAAAATAATTATGGATAACATTTGATTGGATTACTCGAATATGCTTAATTTTGTGTTTATGTGAATAAATTGTTGTTCGGTGACATTTAGTGGTGGGTCGGTTGGTCGGTTTTTTTTTTTTTTTTTTTTTTTTTTTTTTACAAAGGGAACACCAAAAAAAAACTAAAAAACAAAAGAAAGCAAATTTCTACGACGAGCAGCTCCAGCTAAGAAATGGGCTTCAGCAATCACTGATCTGGAGACTTTCTGAATCAGACAAGTAGAAAAGGCAGACAAGAACTCCCGAATCTCTTCTAACACCCAAACCACAGAGATATCTTTGGAACCAGAATCCAAAAGAGAAGTAGTGAGGAGCATACTATCAGTATACATTCGAAGCCAAGTAACACCTGTTTCGGGGTTTTCTGATGTCCTGCGGGAGAGTTACAATTCTGAGACTGGAACCGGACGCCTGTACCTGCAAAACAAACGGATGCTCCGGATGATTGGAGATCCGCCTCCAACGGTCAAGTTAGTACTTGATTAAGGAGTAATTAATGCGGAAATTAAAGTGATTGGGTCTCTCTAGGTGAGAGTGTTTAATGTGTGTAATCTGCGTTTTCTGCGTAATCTCCCTTAATGAGGATTAAGGGAGGTATTTATAACCTCGGGAAACGTGCCAATCTAGGTTTAGGTTAACCTTGGGCTGATTGGGCTTCCCTCGGAAGTTGGGCCTAGGTGACCGGTTATCCCAGGTGTCATGGGAAGGACACGTGTCGTGTCGTAATTGGTCCATAGTGGACGGATCATTGCTTCACACGTGGCAGGCTCCTATTGGCCCATGTGACGGACACATGGCGGAACCTGATTGGTCCACTTGTCAGATGGTGATTGGTGGGGAAAAATCCCCTAATCATTTGCCCCTCACAGGTGGCACGTGACTGGTCACGTGTTACCTGTGACAGGTATCGCCCTGTAACAGGCCACGGCCTGCTACAGGTGTCACTCGGCGAGAGGCCGAGAGATTCTCCCGCCAAAATTTTGAATTCTGGAAGTGACCCTTCGCCTTCTCACTTCGCCTATATAAAGGAGTGTTGACTTCGGTCATTTTCACACTTGAAAACTTTGTGAGAGAACATTCGGACCCCTGAACTTGCTCTGACATTTTGGACCCTTTCTGCCTACCGCCTGCTCTGACAAGCCGACTGCAAAGGATTTTCAGAACTTCATCAATCGTCACTCGTTCAGGTAACCGTCGGTTCTCTTACTCTTAATTTTCTCTTTACTTTATTCTTTTTTGAAATGGCACCACGGAAGCACACGACACGACCTAGGTTAGTGATTAACCGGTCACCGGGGACGGCTGAATCTAGGACTAGGAGTGCCGCCTGCCTTTTTCTGGACCCATCTTTGCCCTTTATACAAAGTCCGACTGTATCTGTGTCTATGCAGAGCATGATGGCCAGAACAAAAAAGACTGCCAGGATCTCAAACTCAGACGGCTCCTCCCACAGGGTGCCGATTAGTGAAACATCTGACCAGGCGCCAGATGTGGAAGTGAAACAAAGCGGCTTGAAAGCCGGCAGTTCTGAGGGAGGAGTCAAAGTGACCCCTTCCCATTTTACAGTTGACAATTCTACATTCTCTCCTGCTCCTTTTAAAGGAGAGGAGGCGGGCCCCTCCGGGAGAGGGGAGAAGTCGTCCTCTTCGGACTCGTCAGAGGACGATTCCGAGTCTAGCTCTTCTGGCCATGCTTCTCTGGACACAGAAGAGAAAAACAGTCGCCTACAAGAGGCGAGGCTTTCTCACGCAGTTGAGAAGGGGGACGATTGGGCGGAGCCATCCGCCTCTCACCGAGAGCAAAATACCCCCTACTACTGCACGGTACCTCGGGGCCGGATCACAGCCATGCAAGAGAAAGTGGAGAGCTTTATCGCAAACCACACAATGGGCCCCGACTTTTTAGTGTTCGTGCCGGATCCAGAAGACACAGTCGTCTGGCCGGCTGGTACCAGTTATGATGGCGCCTGCTTTGGCTGCTACGAGGTGGCCATCAAGGCTGGGCTGCGCTTCCCACTACATCCGGCTGTTCAGCGGATCTTGGATGGGTATGAGTTGGGGTTATGGCAGTTAGCCCCGAACTCCTGGGTCAACGTACTCGGCTATGTGGCCGGGTGCGAACTGCACGGGGTGGAGCCGAACTTCGAGGCTTTCGCCCACATGAACTACCTCAGCCGGACCCCTAAGGCAGGCGGTACCGGCTGGTATCAATTGACGAGCCACAGGGGCTACCTCATGACGAGAGGTAAAGCAAACAAATGGAAGGACTGGCGGAGCACCTTCCTTATCATTGAGAGTTCAGACACAGAGCTGAACAAGCGCTTCAACAGGTGGAACAGGAATCCGCCCCTTCTTACAGGCGGTCGCAGCATGCCGCCTGTTCCCCCCAAGGCTAAGAAAGAGATCCTAGATAAAGGACTCTTCAAAGTAGAGTCGAAGGTGAACTCTACTTCAGGGGTACGAGAGCAAGTACCCCTGCACTGCGTCCCGAGCTTCAAATGGCTCTACGACGAGTACTTTTTGGCCGCCTGTGGCCTCAGCAGTCGGTGCTCAAGAGGTAGCCGGCCTGTCGAATACTCTGTTGTTCCATGCATTTCTTGTTATGACTTTTATTAACTTTGCTATTTGTTTTTGCAGCGGACGCCATGAGCAAAATTACCGCCTCCAAGACTGCGGCGGCCATGTTGCGGGCCTCCATCATGCAACAGTCTTCAACCGACTCCCCCAACAAGGGGGCACCCTTGGTGGGCTTCGAACCTTTCACCCTCTTTTTGGAGTTGTGTTTATGCATATACTGACTCTTTTCTTCTTTTTTAGACGGGCGCTCCAAGAGCTTCTTCTTCCCAACAGCCGGACCCCAAGGCCCGGAAGACGACTGTTGCGAGCTCTCCTGGTTCTGCCAGGAAACATGTGGCGGCTGAGAAACAGCCGACCACTTCTTCTAAAACTCCAGCTGGGCCACCTAGAAGTATGAAATTGTCCTTGTAAATTTTAGACTTGCTCCCTCCTTTACTAGGTCTAATCCGTTTGTTTATGCTTGATGCAGCCGGCCCTCAGGAGCCTGACTTGGTCGAGGTGGCCAAGTCTATGATTAAGGCCGTTCCTCCAGCTGAAAGGGAGGCGGTCAGGGGTGTCGGCACCCTTGACCTAGACGGGATTGCAGGGGTCCTTGCTGAGGTATACTTAGCATATTTTTGAGTATTTGAATTCCAGGACGCCTGTTTTCTTTTTTGTTTGGAAACTGACGCCTGTTCCCCTTTTTACTTAGGCCCTGCTCCGAGTGAACGGCCTTCGCAAGTCGCTTGACCGGAAGAACAAAGAGGTAAAGGCTGCAAAAGCTATGGCCGCCTCTGACTGTGATAAGACAATGTTTCAAATTGCCCAAAATGAAGTTCTGACCATTGATATTCTTTATTATCAGGCGCAGGCTACCGCCGCTATCCGGGCTCAGTTAGAGGCGGCCCAGAAGAGGAATAGCGAGCTGGAGGCGACCATCAACAACCTCAAGGCCGAGCTGAGACCTCTTCGCCAAAAGATGTCCTCATACGAAACCTTGGAGAAATCCTTGGCGAGCGTAAAGGAACGCCTGGTGACCCAGGAGAAGAGTCTTACTCAGGAGCTCTCTGAAAAGGCCGAGCAAGAAAAGAAAGAGCTAGTCCGGGAGATGATGGAAGACTCTGCTCAAATCCAGCGCATGACTTGGGGCCGCCTCTTCCCCAATGCCGACTTTGCCTCATGGGAAAAAACGTACCGCCAGTGTTCTGATAGATATAATCAAGAGATCCTGGCGGCTGCTGAGGAAGAGGCGTTGGAGGAGGAGGAGCAGCCGGTAGTGGCGCTTGTGCCGCTTGGGGGTAATGCATCAAAGAAGGATGCAGCTGAAGCCGAGTCCAGCAAGAAGAGTGCTGACCAGGCGGCAGCTGCTAATATTGAAGATCTGCCCCCTTCTTAAGCTTTATTTCTTCTTTCCACGGCCTGCGTGCCGTTTGTTTGTATTTACCCGGCCAGGGGGCCGGGGCTCTGAATATTTTGCCGGTCTTTAATGACCGGCTTCTTTTTAATGAATATTTTTGTTTTGCTTCAAATTTGTTTAAGTATTGAATATTCTGATATCCAATTGTACACTATACCGACTGTTTTACATGGCCGATAGTTGCAGACAGGTACGGATAGTTAGTCACGCCGCCTATGCCCCTGGACGACTGGTTGTCTGTTTCCAGGCTAGACGATCAGTCGGCCATTTATCCAATCGGTATTCGAACCATTTTAAAGACTGGATCCCCTTTAGACAGGCGGTCCTGTCATTTGTAAAATTAACCAAGTAGGAAAGTTGTTTCCTACTTGTCATGCTTTTAGGCTAGAGACTTTAGGCCGTCTAGGCCGACTGTTTCCCGCCATATTTAATCTAGTGTGAACAGGTGCTGTATGAACACCTTTTTAGTTTCATACTAAATTTTTAAGGAGTGACCAAGTAAACATGATTGTTACCTAGTCGCCAAGTAACTGAGTAGTAGAGGTATCAAGCGGTGGGTACCGGTTGTTCCCCTTTATTCGCCAATGTTTGTTGGCTTTTAACTCATAGGTTGTTAGCCTAGCAGGAGTAGTGGTTGAGAGCCCCTGTTTGCTAAAAACAGGCGGACGACTCATACCTTTTAGGCTCCATACTAAGTTTGAGAGAGTGACTATGAGTTAACTTTGGTGTTACTCAGTCGCCGTCACTCCTGCTTGAGTAGTAATGGTACCAGGCGGCGGAGGCCGGCTGAACCTTTTGATTCGCCAATGTTTGTTGGCTATTAACTCAAGAGGTACCCCCTGCATTTATCCCAAGTAATACAGGCGATCATCTGACTCAGATGCCAACTGCTACCACTAGTTTGGTTAGTGATAGAGTTATCC